GGGATCATGACCTGAGCCGAAGGCAGACGCTTAACGACTGAGCCACCCAGGCGCCCCGTTTCAAAATAGTAAAGATTTTAAAAATTATAGAATGGCTATCATTTAACTCTGAGGCTTCTATTAAATAACTTATCCCTGAACTCAGTGAAAATTTCCACACTCAAGTTCTTACAAAATATCTCAGTTTCATTCGCATTTAAATAGGCCTTGGCTATAAATAGCTGCTGAAAGGCCAAATTTTTACTTATGCTGTGTGTGCGCATGTTTAAATAGGAGGAAGTTCTGAATTCCTAGCTGATTTTTCAACAATGGAATTAAGCCCGTTTCCTGCCTGCACAGGTGAACATATGGATTACCCATAATAGTTCTGGAATTTCCACACATGCAACAGGACAGATTCTGCACTGGAAGGTTAGCACAAGAAGCTGAATAAATATGTAAGTATCTGTCAAAGCAGATACAAAAATCATACTATTTTCAAAACTTTGTTAGATCAGGGTAAAAATAAAAATACATACATCTTTTCACATGAATGGAATTACATTATATATGTTCTCTACATGGCCTGTTTTAACCACCACCATTTAACATAATGCCTTCCACGTGTACAGAGTTGTACCTCTCTCGTCAGGATGGGTGAATACACTTGAAACTCAGCAGAATTTATTTAACCAAGCTTTTACTGACCCTACTGACACAATCTTTCAATTTCCCTTCTGTTAACAGGTGCACTGTTCCTATGAGCATCCTGTACATACATACGCATGTAAATCTTACCTCTTTAGAGTAAACCCCTGGAAGTAGAATTCTTAGTTTGAATATTAAATTGCCAATATTCAACTATTTTTCCGTACCAAACTGCCAACAGTGCCACATACCAACCTGAAGGATATGAATATACTCATGGCTCTTAGTATAGCTGCCAACTCATTGGTTATGACAACAGTCCTCCCTCCTTCCCCCCTCCTCTCTGTGGTTTGCACACACCTTTACCTCCCTGTCTCCTGTCCCTGGGACACTGGTATGGATCAGCCATCGACATGGGCAAGGGGCAGTATCATGACCGCACCTGAATTTCTTTTAAAATACAGGTACTTGGTAGAATACTATAAAACCATACACAAAATGAAAGCAATTATTAGGATAAAGATACTTTAAGTGATGTATTAGAATATTTTCAGGACTTCCTAAAAATGTGCCATATGACTTCACAACTATAAAAGATTAAAAAGGGTCAGGTTGAGGAAGAGAAAGTGCAGGAACAGGAGAAAGCAGAGGTTGGGGTGGAGGCACACAGGAAGGAGAGGGGTATGGCCTCTCCTAGAAGGTGCCGCTCACACTTGTGTCGTGATCTGCAGATGGTAAATGCCGAATCCTCAGGAGCCTAGCGCTGCCCGAACATCAAATAATGACGGGGTACGTGTATGGGGGACAACTCCATCTCATTTATCGGGAGAGGTAACATACCTATTTTAGTAGATGAGACCGTTAGGCCCAGGGAGACCTACAGAGCTGCTGCACGCAGTGAGCACACGACAGTATGTGCGCTCCCTAACTCTCAGGTCCCGTCAAGACTGTTCAACAGAATGACACAGGCTGCAGTGAGAGATGTCCTATGAGTAAGAGAAAACCGGGGCCACACCAGCATGTACTTTTAGTCAGAGACAGAAGCAAGGCCTCGTCAAAGGAAAAACTAGGACAGCTGGTAGCAGCGTGGAAGGAGGGGGAACACGGCTGTGAGGTCAGCCTACGAGTTATGAAAAGGGGGGACTGCGAGCTAATGAACCTGTACTGTGGACTCCAGAAATCCGTGTCACTGAAGTAGTCACAGAATTCCTCAGGGGTGGATTTTTTTCAAAGAAATTATGCCAAAAGTGATAAAGATCATTTATAAGAGAGAGAAACCGAACGCAAACATATCAGTTAACTAAACTCTCTTGTCACCTCCTTCACTCAAACACAAGGTTCATCAGACGGCTACAGAGGAGCTGGGAAAACACATACGAGGAGCAGTTTGTAAGCCGGGTATCATCTCTGCAGCATGAGTGGGCCCCCAGTATTCTCAACTGGGATCTAAACATGACTTTTCTCTTCCCATTTTGCCAAACGTAAACTCCCTCTCCCATGCAACTCCCATGCAACTCTCCCACGCAACTCACACTTCCCATTTCCGATGGCACAAGAAAACAGACCCAATATCTAGAAACAGCATCCTTGGCTTCCTGCTCTCACAGCTTGGATCTTATAAGCAGGAATATTCAGTTTTCTCACCTCGGGAGATAAAACGACCTACCTTCTTACCGCCTTCCTCCTGAAGTTAGCCTACCTCTTCTCTTTCCCAACACTTTCCAGGCACCTGGACTTATGCAATCCACCTCTTTATTTTCATGTCCATTTGGATCAGTCTCCCAGCCCTATCAAATCCACCCACTACATGTGCTTTAGTTAGACCTTTATCTCCCCTGTTTCTTGCCTACATGGCTGGAGAGCCTCCTAACTTGCTTGCAGCCTTCTTAAGACCCATCTAGTCCATGATGGATGCTGCCATCACATCTGTGTGGTCTTATTTCACAATGACAAAAATTCTCAAGACATTCACTAACTACGTTCCTTAAATAGCTCTCCTTACTCTGCAGGAGAAAACCTACAACCTTCCCTTTTCATGATGTGGGCTCTATCTCCTCTCCTGTTTCTTCTCAGAACTTTTTAGCTCAGGTTTAAATGCACCATGTTTCCTAAAGTACATCTCTTCTTCATCTACAAAGCTGGGGACTCCTCACATGACACTTTCCAGGAGAGCCCCTGGGTTTTGCAACTCCACGGGGTTAGCAGACCCTCCTGTGCACGGCCACATCCTTTGTGCTTCTCAGCAACAGAGGACTGAGCACAAAGTACCTGTTCACAGGAGATCCTCACCCAGGTGAGGAATTTAGGGGGCAGACTATCTCATTTATTTCCTCTGCATTCCTGACCCACAGCAGACATTTAATAAATATTTTTATTAAAACAAAGAATGACCAAGTGCATTTGACTGCAGAACATGTGTGTGAATGTCAGCTATTCCTCGGACTTGTGCTTTGACACTCTTCATGAAAACTAACAAGCAACGTATACTTGGCCAATTTGTGTTGGTTCATTTACGCCACATGTGCTTATTGCTTAACTAATATTTGAAGGGGTAAAAAGCAAGTAACTCAGTGCAAAAACAAGTCAATTCTGCCTTTATTGTGCAAACTGCTCTTGAGATTATATGAATATAGTTGTCTGACAATAAATTCTACACCTAACCAATCTGTTGATATTCAAGCATGATAATTATACTTGAATTAAAGACAAACCAATGCTTGTGTCACTTAGGATTTATGGTCTCCACATTAAAGTAGTATCTTTTAGGATTTGCGTAAGCATACAAAAATTCAGTGTCAAAAATTCAAAACTCACTGGTTCAAAGTCTCTCACTACCATACTGTGACAAATATACATTCTCCCAAATGTTAGGTTTTATCTAATTCTAAAATAAAACCAAGTAGGATTCAAAGACAAAGAGAAAAGTATATTAAAGCACTCTCCTATACCTGTTGATAGAAGAAATTCAGAGTTGGCTTGTCTTCAGTAAACTGGTTTAGAAATCCTTTTGGCAAATAACGAATTCTCAATTCATATCTAAAAAATAATTCACAAAATAGAACAATTAGAAATAAGTAATTTCTCAATTCAAAAGTCTACAATTAACAGCATTACTGTATGGCATAACCAATTACTCTGAAATATTATTTTAAAAATAAGCTAAAATACAATCAATTTTTAAGCATTCATTTTCAAACTTTTCAACACAAAGACTGCCCCTCAATGTCTAGAGCTCAACGATCCTGCAAGGAGACAGAGCAGGGAAGAAGCCCAGAAGGCACCCGGTCCTGGCAGTCACTGCCCACCACGGGGCACGGGCAGCACCTCCCCACACTTCCCCCAGCAGCTGACCTGATGCGCATGGAGTCACACAGAACGTACTCTTTCGTGTCTGGCCTTTGTTCATTCACTGACGTGCTGTGAGACTCACCCAGCTGGAAAGTGCTGTATTGCATGAAAGACCACATCACTGCTAAGGGCCATCTGAGTTATTCCTGCTTTTTCGGCTATTATGAGGATACTGCTGTAAACACTCTGTATTTCTTCCTCTAAGCATAAAATAATTTAATTGTTCAGGAAGCCACGCTTCAAGAGTGGTCAAAACAAATTTCATCAGAATGCTCTCCCCAACTCTCTCACGCATATCCTTTGGTGAACGTGTGTACGCACTTCTGTTGGGCACAAGGGCTTGCACTGGGAGTGTAACACACACACACCTGCGTTAGCAGATGCCACCCCTCAGGGAGCTGAAGAAGCCATACCAGCCTGGGGTGTTCTGGATCCTCTCCACCCCCACCTCTGCCCAGCACTTCTCTTTCATTGCACTCACTGATATTTACCGCAGTAAGCGTAGAGTGGGCTGGGAGCAGCCTCATCTGATGACTGGCCATTTTGGAAATCTCCTCTTTGAAACATCTGTTTCTTCTGAAGGGTTGTGGGTCCCCCCTCCCTAGCCCCCAGCTGACCTGTAGGCCTGCCTGCCTTACATGTTCAGGGTGTGAGGCCATTGTTAGACTCCTATCCTCTACCACTCCAAGGCTTGTCTTTCACTCTCTTGATGGTTTCTTGTAAAAATTATTTTAAAAATCTTTTTATTTTAATGTTATCTTTTGAGGAAGAAAGTTCATAATTTTTATGCAGCCCTATTTATTCTTTTCCTTTTTAGGAAATTCTTGTGGTGTTTTGTTTATAAAATATTTGCGTACCCAAAGGTTATAGGAAGATCTATTTGTCTAAAGTTTTATTTACTGATGTTTAAAAAAAAATGCAATAGTCTCATAAGGAAAACATGCAAACAAAGTAGTAAATACAATTCTTTTGGTTCACTTAAGGGTGCAAAAAAATGCAAGGTACACATACACAAGTTCTGCTAAGATTTTTAAGTGTCCATCATCATTAAAACACACAACTGCCAAATGATTAGGTTCCCTTCTGCTTCTCCTCAGAACGAGGTCAACAATTTCCTGTAGGTATTCTATGTGGGGCAGTCATTTGTGGAAGCACACTGGAGTTCATTTATTTTGAACCGAGGACTTACCAGGCACTTTACATGCACTGTTTCTCCTAAGCCACATAACCGTCAGAGAACAGAAGTGGAGTGAATCACACTGAGCAGATTAGGAAGACGGTGCTCTGCAAGAAGCAGCAATCGGTCCCGAGGCTGCACGTTCGGGATCAAACAGGACACAGGAGGCTTTTGCTAGGAATGTTAATCGCATTTAACGATAAGGAAGCAGACCCCGGATCCAACACTGGGCAGCCTGGCTGCACATCCCTGCTGTGCCCAGCCAGCAGCCTGACAATGCTGACGATGCCTCGACGGACATTTCATGGCTACTCTGGGCCTGACAGTGATGGTGATGAGGACGTGACCCTCAGCCTCCTTGTAGTTAGCAATGGCCCTGACAGAAGCAGGAAGAACGTGGGCGCTGGACCGGGGCCGCCTGGGCTGGGACTGTGGCTCCGTGGCCCATCCACGGTCTGCCATCGCCTCTCTGCGCACTGGTGTCTTCACAAGGTTGTCGGGAGAAATACATGAGCTAGTGAGCGCAGAACACCAAGCACACTCCCTGGCACACAATGATTGTGGGCTCCACGGCTTGCTTACGACATGAGTAGTTATTCCACAAATACTGATTCCAGCACCAAGACCAGCCAAGGTACAACTCCAGGGGGTGGGAAGACACCCATGAATAAAACAGGCAAAGTGCCAGCCCTCGAAAAGTTTATATACAATTTGTGGTGAAAGACAGCAAATACACAAATATCTATGAGGTGGCAGTAAATGTGACAAAGACAAGTTAGCAAGGTAAGGGGAGTAACAAGGGATGAAATATATTCTGCACAGGGTAGCCGGCAGGGGACACTCTGATTCAGTGATATCTGAATGAAGATCTGAGGGGAGGAAAGGAGTCATTCAGTCACGTGCAGGGACAAGAGTTCCAATCTGATGGAAGAGAACGGGTGACGGCCCTGCGGCCAGAGAATGCATGGGAAGGCAAAAGCAGCTCGAGCCCCCAGGAAGGCTGCAGGGAGAGGTAGGATCGGAAGGTGGCAGATCACGGAGGCCCCTGCCCGTCATGGCGATGGGGCTCGGGGCACTGTGAGCACAGCAGGGCTGTCGCAGGAGGTGTCCTTCTCAGACCAGGCAGGCGGTAGTGTGTAGGACAACAGGGACCACGGGAAGAAGCAGGAGGCCGGGAGGCGAGCGCAGTACCCTGGCTGAGAAGTAATGACCCTGTTTTTACTGATGGGGAAAATGTTTCAGGGCATTATTAGGTAAGTGGCTCAAGGTCCCACAGGTATAAAGAAGCAGACAGGGATTCCCCTGCAGCAAGTACATGCACAAATGCTGCAAAGCAAAATGAAACTGAGAGAAGCCCCTATGGCTCAAAAACAGAGGAACAGAACTGACCTGACTCATGTGCAGGTAGGCAAGCTCTTCAGATCATGAGAAGCATTCTGGGCCCTGCTTCAATCCGTACAGTCTAGCCTATCTGTCCCCCACAGCCCCGCTGAACTGCCCAAGGTGGCCTGATCTAATTGCATTCCATCACCCTGGCTCAGTCCTTAAACCACAGCACCCAACCCCCAGAGCCTACGGCCCACAAGTGCTGACACCCCCATGCCTCTCTCATCTCTGTCCACGAAACTTAGCGCTCTCGTTACCCTTCTGTTACTATGTTACTATTCTAAGAGCCTGACAGCATCCTGAAACACATTTCCACTATTCTGCTATATGCCATTCCATGGATCTCTGAATAGCAGCTAAATATAACATGCCCCAAATAATCCTTTTGCTTCTTCTGAGTAATAACTTCCTATTAAGGCCACTGACACTAACCTCCTCAGTCTTACCACCCACAATGAGCACCAAGATACTCATGAGCTGACCAACTAATGGCGGGGAGGAGTAGGAAGTGTTTGGACAAAGAATCTGTTAACCTTGATACAGAGAAGGGTCAGCTAGCCAGTCTGTATGTGGCGAAATAAAGTACAACTTCCAGAAACAACACAGATGTTGTTGTTTCTTGATGGGCCTTGCAAATAATGTGGTATGGACAGCTCTTTCTTACAACAGACTTCCATTTAAAAATCCTCAAAAGAAGGATGGAAACAGAAATTCATCATTAGGCAAACATTATTAGCAGTAACAGCTGTAAGAAAGAATCATCAATGGTAATGAGATTAATGGGTGAAAATACAATGAGAAACAGGATATCTGCATAGTCTCGATATATATGCGCCCAGCAGGTTATTTCTTAATTACAAAGGAGAAAACAGTTAACTCTACAGTGGAGAAACCTGGCCACCACCTTAAACCAAATGATCCAAGTTAAAAACACCTGTACAAAGGAGTCACATCATCATTACAGACTTCCTGATAAGATGCGCTGTGATGGGGTCAACAGCCTGGCTGTAGTATTCTTGCCAACAACACATAACCTCAACATAACCATGAAAAAAAACCCCAGACCAACCCAAATTGAAGGACACGTTACAAATAACCAGCCAGTATTCTTCAAAAGCGTCAAGGTCATGAAGGACATACACTGAGGAACTGTCCCAGATTAGGGAAGACTTAAGGAGACAGTAAACAGTCACATGGTATCCTGGACCAGGAAAGGGATGTTAAGTGGGACAACTGCGGATATTTGAGTAACATCTGTAGATCAGTTAATAGTACTGCATCAATGTTAAGTTCCTGGTTCCAATTACTGTACTATGTTTATGAAAGTTTCAACATTTTAGGGAAGCTAGGTGAAGAGTTCTCAGGACTTCTGTGTACTATTCTTGCAACTTCTGATACATACTGAGAATAAAAAGAAATTCGCAGACTGATTGTTCCGTAACACCCTCCAGAACCACTCTCCAACCAGCCGGGCCAGAGTCCGTCTGCAGACGCAGACCCACCGGAAACTGACAGAAACTGACCTATCTTCCTGCTGCTCCCATCTGCTGCAGAGGCCTCCAGTAAATGTTTAATTACAGACCAGCAAACTGAAAGTCCATCCTCATTTTAAAGGCATCACTTCCAAATCTGTCCAAGTGCTCCCCTCCCGGAGAGGCTCTGGGTGGTTTCCCTCTGGTCCTTTACTTAGGTGAGCCACACTGTCGTACTCGACTGATGTGTTCCCAACAATATTCTTTTAGGCTCTTATCTTTCTTCACTTTATAAAAGCTTATCATGCTATACGTCATCTTCTGGGACTTTTTTTTTTAATTGAGGTAAAATTCACGTAACAAAAAAAACATAGCCTTTTTATAAAGTGTACAGTTCAGTGGTACTGAGTGTACTTACAACACTGTCCTGGGAGACTCATTTTGTCACGAGGTCACGTGGCTACAATTCATCCATACTGCGGCACATGCCTATACTGTTCGTTCATGTTCCCTTGCGTGACATTCTTGCATCTCTAGCCCCAAACAGAAACCTCAGTCTCTCTCAAGGACAGAACCTGAAGTGGAACTGCAGGATTTAGTGTGCAATGCCTCGATTTTCCAGCTGCTCACCAGATGGGAGTTACCCATTTACC